CTGAAAGTGGTGTTGCTCTTCTCTCTGATGGGAAGAATTATGGTGGTATAGAAGGATAGAATTCTTTTTAGTATCTTACATTGATCATGGGTAGAGGCTGTATTGTTCATTCCAAGTAATAAACTTCAGCTTTAAAACTGGAGGGAAAAAAAAAAAAGAGGATCCTTTAGGCTTTGAAGCCATTCTTCAAGGTCTGAGTCTTTAGAGCCTGGGTTTCTTCTGCTTGGCATTGGAAATAACATATATGAACAAAATCTAGTTTTTCTCATAGTGTTGAAATTTGAGACTACATCATGTTTTTAGTTGTGGTTACACACTAAAGCTAATGGTAAAAATTAGAGACTACTGAAGTTGCCAATAAAGATAACTTAGGAAGTTTTCCCTGATACCCTAAACGTGGGCTCTTCAGTGCAGGTATTTCTAACCCACACAGTCCCACTGGACTGCAGGATGTGTGTTTAGTGTAAGAGATGTTTTCACAATACCTTTAAATATGCATCAAGGCAGAGGACATCAAACCGAACATACACTTTTTGAGAGGGAAATTCTCTTTTATTTAGAGGAAATTGTATTCCTATTTCTCCTTGGCCCATTTTTTTTCCCAGCTGCAGACAGAATAAAAGCTGCTGTGCTTTCCTGGGAAACACAGGGAGAGGGATTAGGATGTGGTAGGACAGGACATGCCACCATGGAATGTGCTCCTGTGAGCAGCTACGCACTCACAATTCAAATTAAACACTTCTTCCATGCCTGAAATACACTGTCATGTATATACCCTTAGCTCATTTCAGATCACAGAATTGGCAGATTTATTGAAGTAATCAGTATTCATCTGTCTTCCAGATCTTGTTAGACTCAGAAGAAGAGACAGTAGTCAGGATAAAGTGTCATGGTTACTCTGACAACAGCACTAAAATAGAAACACACAGATGGACAATGTGCTAGCCTGTTTGGATTTTTTTTTTAAAATACCAATTCTGCATAGAATATGAATTATTAGCTGTGTCACAGTGTTCCATTATCTTTCACTGTTTACGCACAATAAATTGTTAGACACACTTTTGCAGCCCAGCAATTCTATAAGATGCATAAGCTTGTTCTGTTGCTGATCTAATGATGAATTGCAGACTGTCACTGAGGGAAAAACAAAAGCTTGTCTGTTACCATAAAAATATCAGTATTGATCAAAACACTCCTTATGTACAGGTATGTAAAAGTTACTCAGATTTTTACAGCAACAGAGGAGCTTCCTGAAAAGTTGCCATAATGCAGTGGATAATGTTCTCTGTAGCTGTTTTACGTGGCTTTGTCCTTATATTCACGCATAGGGAAAACCATGCGTGAAGGAATCTCCTTCCTCAGTAGTAATAACTAATAACCACTTAGTTTGTGAGCAGCTCAAAGCAAGCTGGCTACCCACTCAAGGCTCTGATTGACTGATGCTGGACTGCAGCTCCACTCTCATCCTCTTGCCTCTCCCTTTCCCTCACTCCTCCCCTGTCTGGCTCATGGCCACATCCCCTTCTATCTACAACAATCCTTCTTATCTTCAGCCCTTCCCTTTCCCTGTGCACGCTGGCCCTGAGGCAGACCCGGCCCTTTGGGAAGGGGCAGGAGGGGACCGCGAACCAGCGCTGGAAAACCTCCAGCGAAATAAAAAAATGTTGCACAACTTCCTTTGCCGGTAAATCACGGAGCTGTTTCACCCCATCTCCTTCCCGCAAGTCGTTGCTGGCTCTTACATGTGATGCATCACAGCCCTTTTAATGCTCTCGAAACCTGGAAGACATCTCTGAACCCTCGGCCTTTCGTCAGAGGTCACACTTCGTTGTTCCTTGTACTCGTTTCTCTCACACAGGACATCCCGCTCTCCTCCCCACGCCTCTCCCCCACGGCTTTGTGTGTGCGCTGGACCGGGGCGAAACACCCGGAGCGCTTTGTCTGGGGAGACGTGAGGCCAGCCAGGCCGTTCCCTCTCACTCGTAACGGCCCTGACGGGCCCCAGGGCCCCTGTCAGTGCCCAAACCCCGCTCACCTGCAGCTGCAGGGCGGGACCCGGACTCGCCGAGAGCCGCCAGCAAAAGGAGCGGCACAGGCGGCGGGGACGCGCAGCCCCAGCGGCCAGCCCCAGCGCCGCCCCCGCCCCGCCGGACGCCGCCGCGTCCCGGGCCCGGCGGGGCCGCCCGCACGGAAAGGAAGTGTCCGCCGGAGCCGGGAAAGGCTCGCGGGTCCGAGCGGAAGCCCGAGCCCAGTCGAGGCCCCTCCCCGAGCGCCGGCTGAGGACGATGGGGGCGGCCGGCGGCTTGCTGTGGGCCCTGCTGGGGGCACGCTGCTGCTCCCTCCGGTAAGGAACGGCGCTGCCTGCGCTGGCGGATGGGGCCGCCTGGCGCTGCCCGGCCGAGGGGCTCCTGTGCCCGCCCGATGCCCGTTCCCGGCAGCTCCAGTCTCCCGGGCGGGCTGGGCTGGCTCCCCGGCCCAGGGGCGGTTTCGCTCCGCAGAGCGGCCCGTGGGGTTTGGGCCTCGGGAGAGGCCCCGCGGTTCCCCCAGGCCAGGCCGGCTCCGGTCACGCGTTGGGAGTCGGGATAATAAATCTCCCGGGTGCCTGCGTGGGTAAACCTGTTGTTTCTAGGGGCTTTTAAATTATGGTGCAGGAAAGGGGGGAAGCTCGTGGTGTGTGTACGTGTCCTGTCTTTTGTCCTGTCCAGTGCCGTTTCGGTTTCGGTGTGGGACATACTCGGAGCTTCTCCCTTTCCACGGGTGGACATTGAAATCTGGCAGGCTGCTCTCTGCCAAATGGGGTAGTGAAAGGGGGAAGCCAGAAACCTCTGTAATCTGCTGAGGCAGTATGAAGGGCATATCTGCATTAAATGGTGCTCCACTAAATTGTTTGGTTGTTGTTGTTTGCTTTTTTTTGACATAGTTTTTATCTTGTTTTGGTAAGATAGGATGCAGCGTACTTCCTGTGTGGGAAGTCACCATTGGATATATGACAGGTGCACAGCACTGTCTGTTAATGCCTTGAGAATGTTTGTGGATGAAGTAACTTGTGTCTTCTCTCTGTGAGTCCCACATAGTTGTCACTAGTTATGTTGGGGTTTTCTGAAGAGTGATTTTGCTCCTTAACCCAATGGTTGGCTGCTGTTGACAAGGGAAGGGGCATCTGCCCTCCTGTAAAGCTCCAGCCCCATGTCCTGCCTCCTCCTTTGCTCTACAAATGCAGTTGTAGCAGTGGTGAGCATTGGATACTGTATCTGGAGTAATAACAGCATGGGGAGTTGGCCCTCAGGAAGGTCATAGGTGTTCAGAGCACCACTGCTGCTCTCTGGGCATGGGCACATGTTCCCCTGAGTCACAGTGCCTGGAAAGAGGGAAGAAGGGACAGTTTGTGTGTGTCACAAGGCCACTGACAGAACAACAAAATGATGCTTGTTCTCTTCATGGCTGTTCTGTTCTCTTTCTTTCTTTCTGTGTTATTACTTGCTAGGTACAGAATACCTTCTCCCTGCTCCATACCTTTGAGTTTCTGTATGTCTTACCTGGATGTTAATTATGGTGGATGTTGTAAATATAGGCTTAGTTTGGTCTCTGTGTCTGCTGGTTCATTTGAGTTCCTGTATTCTGTGTGGTGGGGTTACTGGTACACTCCAAAGCTCAGCAGTCAGCTCAAGCTTATATCCCTGCAGCGACAGGACATGTTAGGAAAATTAGAGAGCAAGAGACAGAGTGATACTTCTTCTCTATCAAAGATAAGGAATTATAAAAAAAGTGTTTAAAGGTGCTAAGGGAGGGAAATACAATGAGAGAACTACCTTTCAAAAATAGGAAGGAGTTCGTTTGGAGGTGAGGGGCCATTGGGAACTGTCTGAACCTGGAGTGAGAGGAGATGGTGATGCCCCTTTAGGTAAGGACAGCTGTCACGCCTCTACACCATGTGGGAACATTTTTATGCTAGAGCAAGTCAACCTATGGAAGCAGGTTAATCTTTTTCAGGACCTGTCACGCCTCTACACCATGTGGGAACATTTTTATGCTAGAGCAAGTCAACCTATGGAAGCAGGTTAATCTTTTTCAGGACCTGTTTTTGTGGACACACTCTTAGTCTTTCTCTTAAGTAACAAGATTGAAAATGTGCTCAGTAAGAAATTTTTACTTTGCATGTATACTGAGAGTAGGATTTGTTCAGTGATGCAGCTGACTGCAAGGCCAGGTGCCCAAACCAGTAGCCCTTGTCTGTTGTGAAAGAAGGACACTGAAGCAATTAGAAAATGAGAGAACTTCAGCTGGATGCAACGGGATTTCAGTAAGGATGTTCCAAATGTCCATCAATAGTTTCTTTTAATTTTTTTGACTTCTAAATGCTGTGTTCAGAGCTCAGCAATGAATACATGTGGGTACATGTCACGCTCTGGTCCTGCCTCCCTCCGCCTCATGAGGATGAATTGTGTTCCCTGATTCATCCCCAGGGAGGGAAAGCTTGCCAAACAAAACAAGCATATCAAATAGGCAAGTAATCACTCCTTCTAGGTAGATTTACGCTTGTGTAGCATTAACAGTTGATTTCCTGGGACCCAGAAGACACTTATTATTCTACTTTGTGAAGCAGAAAGAGCTTTTAATAGATAGAAACATCTGGGGTTTGCACCTGTTGGAAGTCTTTACTGCTTTTAATTTGCCGTTAGTTTGTACTTTTAGGTGAGTGCACTTAAGAGGGAAGCTTGATAATTTTTGTGCTGATCATAAATCATGGAACAATTTATTTTAGCTGACAGCTGAAGAACTGTTCTATGTTAAACAGTTAATGTGCTCAGGCCCTTTGCCACAGTTCTCCCAGCAGATGTTCGTGCGCTGTAGCCAATATAATGGATTCCTCCGAAGAAGGCTTTTTGCTATTCAAACCAGGCAGACATAAACCTCTGAAACAATATCGTCACATGCTTTTCTTTTCTCTCCAGTTCACACTTGCTGAAGAATACAGATCTGTGAGCTAGAGGAGAAATGCCTCTGTAGCACTGTTAATGGTTAGCATTGTATATCACAAGTATTTGGGCTTTCCCCCCATACCCACTTCTAGCTTAATGTCTCAGTGTTCTTTTATACAAATCTGGAATTTACAACAGGATTTAAGTTTATTTGTTTTTAATCTAATGACACTTGTTGCTGTGGAGGTCAGTTTCTGTCTCAAGACAGACAGATGAAATGAATTCATCTCCCAGTTTTCCTAAGGTGACACTTCTTTGAGATACAAATTATGTTTGTTTTCAGTACTATGCAGCTGTAGCTGCATTTGATCTTTAGTCTGTTCATTTATCCACTGAAGTACCTGACCTTTATTAATACTTAAGGAGAGGCATATATCATAAAATTATCAGAAGTTTTAAAATTCAGATGTATTAGTAAATAACAGAAATCATGTTATGTGAGGGAGTCTAATCTTAAGAAACACCAGTATTTCCTTAACTGCACAAATTCTTTTTAAAGTACACTAGTTGGTCTCTGTGTTTACAGTTGTTTGAGAAAAAATATTTCAGGAATTGTCATATCATACCTTTATTAGTAGGGGAAATTCTAGAGTCTGCAAGGAGGGAAAGACTTTCATCTTTTTTCCATGTGCTGTTCTAATAGCTTTCCATGTAAAGTTTTACACTTTTTGGAAGGGATGTGATACAGAATCTGAAATCATTTGCCTGGGTTTCTTGCTGGTATTCTATACTTGGTGACATGAGCTGTGCAGCATTACAGTAACTAGGTTCTTGTTTTCTGGCCTGCTCTCAAGCTGCCCGTCTCTCATGGAATTAGTCATTATGTAAAATAATTAAGTGAATAAATTCTTTTTCTCCTAACAGCTCTTTCTTTTCCTAACAACTTTTTAGAGGGATGTCTGCATAAGTGGTGTTCTGAGCTTTGTTTAATTCAGAACCCCCTGGTTTCTCGCAGGTGGCCGCGGATGAGGGGATCCTGCACGCCTCTGGGAGCAGGCTGCCCCCAGTGACAAAGGATTACTGCATCATTTACAATTCTAAGTGGACATCTCTTCCAAAAAGCCTGGACAATGCTGTAAGTAGCTTGTAGTCACAGTCTCTGAGAACTAGAATGCAGTATGAATTTGGGTCAGCTATAGCTGGTGTTCAAAATGTTAAGTAGGTGCTACACTGAATATTTACCATTTTGGGTCATGCTGTCCCTTCCCTGTCACCCCTCAAAAAAAAAATTAGAGTGAGCTTTTCTATGCTTTAAAAAGATGGCTTCTAAAACTTACAAAGGGGTTCTCTCTCTGTGCTTAGAACCGGTTTTAAATGTGTTTATGTATTCGTTTGATACCGTAAATTTCTTTTCTTCAGGTGTTATCATTATGTCTGTGTTTTATATTTGGGAGTTAAAGTTCTGTTTATTTGTTTACAAAATTGATAAACTTTTGAAACAGATTTTTTTTATATTGGTTCAGCAGTTTGATGTACTGTTTACTTGTCTTCAAAACATGTGGTGTAATAGATTATCTGGAATGCATCATCATGCCTTATTTTCTTAGTGTGTTGGTGTGAGGCAGAAATTAATGTTCTTTAGGCACTCTTCATATAAATAGGAAACACTTTGTGTTTGGGAGTGGTCAAGGCACTCTGCCTTCCCTTCTGTCATTCATTCACAGAGTAACTCAATGTAAAAAAGAGTAAAAATCATTTGTCTGCCTCAGACATCTTTGCTGGGATACTTTAGTTAGTCAAGACATCCAAGTGGCTAAAGAAAATCGACAACAATTTAAACATAATTGTCAATATGAAATTTAACTTTGAAATAACGATATAATTTTTTTACTACTATTTTGTAGTAAGTAATACATTATCAGACTCAACAGCAGGTTTTGAACAAGCATTATACTTTGGAACTCTGATTGTGTTGTATCCATCAGTGCCCTTTTGGCTTGTGAAGCCTGGAAATATCACAGAGTGTACATTGGATTCCCCAGAACTGCAAGCAGGGGTTTTCCTACGTAACCAGTTTCTTATGTTTAATTTACAGGAACAACTGCTGTGAAATTGCACTTAAAAACAGCCTGATTATTTCAGTTATATGCTGCTCTAAATGTCCCTCAGTATTGCAAGCTGCAGAAACTGCTGCTGTGGTTTTATATTCCTGAATTAATGATTATTTTCTACTACACCTCTTTCTGGCAAACCTCAAGGACCATAGTAATGTACTCATCTAGGTTAGTTTGTAATATCAAATTTCCTAGCTTTGTCATGTTTCTTTTCTCTGCAGACTTTCAGGACTCTGGAAAACCTGACTTCCACAGTCCTCTGCAGTTCATCTGAAGTTCCTTCTGGCATAATGAAGGACAAAGCAGTTGTAGTGATGAGAGGAAACTGCACCTTTTTGGAGAAAGCAAGAATTGCACAAAGTTTGGGTGCTAAGATGCTGTTGATTGCCAGTAAATCCGGGCTGGTAAGTTATAACACAGTTTTCTTGTGTGGTGAAATAGTGTCTTACCTGTTTGATCCAGTGAGGTGTTGTACAGAGTTAGCTGAGAGAAGCCCAAAAGCAGAGGACCCTGGCTATGGGTGGGATTCCAGCAGGAGTCATTAACCCTCCCATAGAGTGCTGTGCTGGTGGGACTGGTGTTCTGAGACTGAGTTACCTCTGTGCAATGCTGGGTTATATCAGCTGCAAGTATCTACAACCACATTGTATTGTTATTCTCTTCCTTATAACTTCAGTCATGTTTCTGAATGCAAATACTTGTCTTTATCATTCCCTAATTTTAGTGCATTCTGAACTCCATGTAATCTTAGGTGATACTGTTTTAGACAGGTATGATAAAAATAAGCTACGAAAATGTAATCCAAATTTGAAGATAAAAGAGTATTTTGAGATATTTTCACAGATACTTCTGTTGCTTTTTTGTTCTCTATCACAGCTGCAACATTTTTGTACCAATATGTGCAATTTATGAATGTGTGATTATCATGAAAAAATCAATCTTGTTTAAGAGGTGTAGAGAATAAAAACAGTTTTGATTATCCCTTGTAATACTATAAAAGCACAAGAGCTGTATGAATCCAGATGTGTTGTTGTTATCACCTGTTTTGATTTAAGTACATCTGTCTTCATTAACCTTTTGCACAGGGTGATGAATGAGCTTTTTGTTTTTTACCTTCCTGGAAATACACTGAAATTTAAAGGATAGTCTGCTTTTAGGGATCTAACCTGCTTTGCAAATAGGCTCAACATACTTATCACTTATACTTTGCCTTTTAGTCTGCTATTTCAGACAACAAGACTGATTTTGAAGATGTGACTCTTCCAGTTGCTCTTATAAGATACAATGACATAGTAGATATGCAGCTGGTAAGTAACAGAACTTCAGCATGTTATGGTTTGTACAAACTTAGGTATTTGAACAAATAAATAAAATAGTTTCAGGTTAGATACAGATGTCTACCTGTTTTGAATGTGCATAGATACTGCTTTCAGTTTCTCAGAAGAGGATGGACATTAAATCATGGAAGTGCTGGTCTTCCTAACTCAGGTGAATGAGAGAGAATGATTGATTAGAACACTAAGAATGGGAAACACAATACTTAACTGGAGGCAAGGAAATCTTAGAGGTCTTCCTGCTAAACAAGATAAGCTGTCTTCCAGTAGACTTGTGTACAGTTACAGATCCTGAGAGACGTGAAGAGCTACAGCCTGAGAGGGCTGTTCCTTTGGAAACTACAACAGTTGAGCTTGTAGCTATGGCACAGTAGCTTTCAGGCAAGCAGCACCTTATCAAGTTGGATATTGAGGAGGGTGAAAGGGTTTTTTATCTTTGCCAGATGAGGAGCTTTCTCTTTATATGGCGTGACAGCATCTGTTAAAGTGTTAGGCAGTATAGTTTGAGTTTCTGCTCATGAGTTTATGGTGAGATGCCAAATGCTTGTCATTAAAATGAGGCACTTGTGGTGTCTGCTAAGCTTTATAAGCAGGGAAGTTTGTTTTGGGAAGTATATAGAATATTGCAGAGAGTTTTAAGGAAAACAGTATATTTTCTTCAGTGTGGCTTTTTCTGTTGTTATTGTTGTTTTAGGTTTTTTATTTAGTGTTAAATAGTTTTGCTAAGCAGGAGTTGCACATGTTTTTCTGTAGGGAGCAGAGGCTAGCTCTAACCTCTGTAGTCTTAGTTTCTTCGGATGAATTTGCAAGCTCACTTCACCATTTCTGCTCTTAATCTTCAGAGCTGCCATGGGAGATTGTCTTAGGTAAGTATGCAAACTGAAACTGCCTAGATTTATAGGACTTTTTGGTTGTTTACTGTCTGTTCCCATTGAAGATTGCTACTTGCTGAGCACTGACACAACTGAAGGTTTGTGGTGGCTGTTCTCAGTCTGCCATAGCTTTGATAAATAATGTGGATTGGTTCAGGTTGTCCTCTGTCTTCAGATTTGTTCCTTCAAGTCAAGACAAGTGTCATTTGCTTAGTTGAGTGATTTTAAAATGCCCTAGTAACATGAAAGGGAAGTGGGGCAAGGTTGGGTCCCTAATTGGTTCTCTGAGTCTTCTCTGCACCACTTTATTGCCCTGTTTTGCTCAGGGTGGTGTCATGTAGAATCACTTCTGTATAGCCATAGTAATTCCTAAAGCAACTTTGCTGGTAGATTGGTATGCCACATGATGTCTCATACTGCTGTTGAATCAGAGAGTTCATATTTGTCTTACAATGAGATAAAAGTAGTGAGGAACACAGCCCAGACTACAAGTGATCCTTTCCTAGTTCTGATCCAGTTTTTTGCCAAAGCCTTCTGTCATGTCACTGGCAGCTGTTGTTTTGAATGGTATGTCCTGCTTAGACTCTGACAACCATTGTACTCTTCCCACTACAGTTGTATTTCTGCTCTAACTCTCTTTAAGGCTTCCAGCTTTCTCCTTTTATTTAGAAGAGACAGACAGCACCAGTCTGAGGGTAACTGGTTTGTATAAGCATTCTTTTTACTTTTTCTTACAAGACTTCATCTCTGTGAGCCTTCACCATTTGAGGCAGGTCTGTCATGTGCCTTGATAGCAATAGCACAGTGTCACAGATCTAGTCAGTGGACAGCTGACAGCTCTCTTGCAGTTGTTATCTGATGCAATCTGTTTGATTGTAGTGCTCCCTGTGGAGGAAGTTGAGACTTTGCAAGTTTTTAGGGAAGAGAACAATATAGGAACAAAAGGAAACAGTTACTTTAGATTCTAATGCAAACTATACTTTGTAAGATCTATGAAACTTAAAGGAAGAACTGGATTAAGATATGTTGGAATTTAATACTAAAAATGTATGAGCCTTTAGGTTTCTTGGGGGGTTTGGCACTTTTTTGAATCTGGTTTGGTTTTTTTTTATTTTTTTACATAGAGGATGCTGTAATTTGGATAGGGTTTTTTTCTCTTTAATGTTATGTTCCACTTCATACAACTGCAGTGTTTCACTAGAATTTAATTTTCTTCCTTGTTTTCTGAACTTCCATAACTGCAGGCAAAAGAGTGATTCTGACTTTTTTTTAGCCTGCAGAAAGGTTATTATCTGTAATTAGGTAACTCAGATGCTGAAATGAATCAGCTTTCTTCCCATGTGGCCACTGCACTACTGGGCTTCCCATTCAGTCTCTCTACTTCCAGTTTGATCTTCCTGTAGCCAAACCTGCCTGGCATGTTCTTCTGCTCTCCTGCTTTTATCTTGCACGCAGACTGTAAACAAATCTGGGTTTTTTACAGCATCTCTGAAGTCTGTTCTCACTGCACGGTAACTTTAGATGTCTTGACTTCCTTTGACTGCAACAGCAAGCCTGTCTCCCCTACCACCTTCCATTTCCTGTCAAATTATCATCCATTCTATGCTTCTTAAATCTCACCTTTCAGTCAAATGGAAGCATCTTGGTTTTGCTTTCAAGATTTTTGTAGGGTTCAGTACCAGTTACATCTCAGTGTTCTCTTCCATTTTTTTCAGCATCCTTCAATTGATTGTTTTATTTACTTAGGTCTCAAATTTTATAAGTAATGTGAAATTGCTTTCTTCTCTTTTGAATCCATCTCAAATCATATTTGTGTAAAGCTAGTAAATAACTTTCTGCCACTTTGATTTTTCGCTGTGTTCTATCTGAAGCATCATGTCTGTATCTGAATGGTGAGATTTGTGGTTTCAAGAGCTAGAGGTAGATCTCTGCTGGTATTTCAGTGGACCTGTGAGTTTGTATTTCAAGTGGATTACCTTAGATATGCTTTCCTGCAAAGAAAACATCTTTGGTAGTACTTGATATATTTGGGCTAGAGGCACAACTTCTGGGAAGTGTGGAAAGAATGCAAAGAAGCACCATTTTGTCTTGTGGTATCCCTGTGTTTCCACACTGGTAGTAATAGGATTGTTTGCAAACCTGACCATCTTGAAAGATAACGTGGAAAGCATTGCTTCTTGGCAAATATATGGGATCTTTTGTACACTAAGTTGAAAACTTCCTCTCAGCATTGTCTAGATCAAGAGCAGGAAACCATGATGTACATCTTGTTGGAAAATAAGCCCTATAGTTTCTTTGTTCTCCTTATGAACCAACTTGTGTGTTATTTTTCAGACACTTGGAAATGAAGTTAATGTGACTCTGTATTCACCACCTTTGCCAGAGTTTGATTACAGCATGGTTGTCATCTTCCTAATTGCTGTGTCTACAGTGGCACTGGGAGGCTACTGGAGCGGAGTAGCAGAACTGTAAGTTTGTGAAATGGAGCTGCTTAAATTACATGAACTGCAAAGTGTGTGAAAACTGTCACTATCATCAGTGAGAAATTATTTTGCTTTATGTTGGTAGTTATAAAATTAGAAGATCCAAGTGCAATTAGCTGCTTTGCCATGAAATTTTTGAGCACTGCAACCTCTGAAAAATCACCTCAGATCTTTGAGGAGCCTTGAGTAAAAGTCCCTGAGGGATAATGCAGCTCTTAGGAGAAGGAATGAGTTAACATTTTGATGAATTACCAAGCAGTCTGTAACTGGCATCATAGGTCTCCAATATCCACAACAGAAATTAGGTATTTTCATTACACCTTTCAAGTCCAGTGATTCAAGAGGTATTTCTATAGTCGTATGTAGTGTCTACATTGGCAGGGGTCTGTACAACTGCTCCATTCCAGCTGGCAGTGCAGCACTCCTGTCCCTAGGAACACTGGGAAATGCAATTTGGTTGAGTCTGGCTGGCTCCAGATAAAGTCCAGCCTGCCTTATCTGCTTCAACTTTGTGTGTTATCTGGTGGAGCAGCAGAGCTGGGGCAGCAGCAGGTCTGGGACTAGGAAAGGGCAAGGAGGCAGCAATAGTCCTTGTGCAGGGAAAAGGAGGGAGTGGAAGTGTAGAATGTGGCAAAGACAGAGAAACAAGGTAGTAGGGGTTTGTGCCCCGTGCTGGGTGTGCAGCTTTAACAGATGCACAGAGCTGTTTTTAGTCTGGGGTTAGCTGGCTATAGCTGGCCTTTGAGAGCATGGCATTATGCTGCAGTATTCTTGGGTGCCTGTGTATGCTGAATAGGCCAGTGTGTGTTGCTACCTTCCATGTCTCAGTGGTATTCTGGTGCTTTGGTCCCCAGAACAATAGGGAGAGGATTGTATGTGATAACAACAGCTTCCTCTTTCCCACTAGTTAGGCAAATCTAGTGATTTTAAACAGATTAAAGAAGTAGAACGAGGGGAGGTGTGTATGTTTCTTTTTTTAAAGGTTGGATCTGATTATGCTTCTTTTTCACCCTGCAGTGCTACAGGGTGTGGCTGCTCTGACTGCTAAAATAACAAAATGTGATGCTGTCTGCCATATTGAAAAATACCTAGGTGTAATTTATTAAACTTGTGAAAGTGCTCTTTCATAAATCTAGGGTGAGTTTTTTTTTTTTAAAGCTGCTTATTCAAAGCATGTCTTCTGAGAAGGTGATTCATCTAACAAAGTGCCTTGCTCCTGTGGGTTTTTCTCTTTTGAAGGTGGCTGTTTGTGCTGAATTCAGCATTTTGTAGTAGGGCCTGGGATTCATCAGGAGCATGTTATCTGATGGGCAAGTTGCACTGGTGTCTGTACTAAAGAGTAGAAGGGCTATCTGCTCAAAGAACAAACACAGCAATTTAAGTCTCCTTATTTTGCATGGTGAGGTATAAATATGGAGTATGTATGTACAGAAATTTTACTCCTAGTGAAAGTCCCCAATTACACCCCCTCTCTTTCACTTACCCTTACACCTTATAATTACAGAGTAAAAGAACTAGTACATAGCCAGCTTCATTCTGCTAACATGAGTGGGTTTTACAGACACTTAATGTCTAATTGAGGTGTTAAAACAGTGTGCAATACTCATGATTTTGATTTATTGTAGACATATTTATCAAATTGTCTACATTTAGCCCAAGAAATTTTGTAGGCAGAGGTCATGCCCTAATGGAGCTGAGTGTGTGCATCCTGGAAAGGAGTTTAAGAGTATTGGACTACTTTTCTTCATACAGATCAGGGTTTTGACTGGGGGATGCTCCTTAGAGTTGGCAATCACCACATAATTGGAAAGGAGTGCAGTTAAGAATCTTTTCCTTGTGATCTATGCTAGGCTGGAAGTGCATATCTTCATCAAAAATTGAGAGAAACTCAAACAGCAAGCATGCCATTTTTTCTGTGGTTTTAAGTCTAATAATAGTTTGAAGGATTAAACTGGAACACTGTCAGTCTAAATGCTCTACAGCCAACAATTATGATCATAGTAAAAGATTTTCATAATCTGCCATTTGAGGTAAATGTGTTTGTCATTTTCTTAAAACAGGGAGAATCTGAAAGCAATAGCAAGTCCAGGGGAGAGAGAAACCAGACGGAAGAAGGAGGAAAATGTTACCTTCACCCCTGTAACAGTTATCTTGTTTGTTGCCATCTGTTGTGTCATGCTGGTCTTACTTTATTTCTTCTACAAGTGGTTAGGTAAGAAACAATGAATAATCTCATTTGACTTATTTTTTTTATGTGATCTTATTAGGTGTCTAAGTCTGAAAGTAGATTTCTAAACTGGAATGAATGTAATTTTTTTAATTGTTCTCTCCATGTGTGAGTTGAAGGTTAAAAAGATGCAATTGCTACTTAAAGGAGAGAAGCTTTCTTCAACTGTCTTGCAAAGACTGTCTTAACAATGCTTATTCTGAATGAAGTGATGGGGAGAAGAAGTGACTAGCAACGAGTAAAAAAACTGTGTGATTTATGTCAACGTTCTTGGGAGGATGGCAATGACAACTTGTTAGTGTTTAGAGTTTGCTTGATGAGAATGTTTTTTAGTAGCTGGGATTTGGTGTTTGGTTTTAGTTTTTTGTAGTGAAGATCTGGGTAGAAAGCAATTTTGATACCTCTAAGTCAAGTTTTTGTTTGATGAGAACTTTGTCATGGCAGAGACACTCAGAATTGAGCACTTTCTGTCATCAGCTGACTACAGTCTCAGTGACTGTATCAAGCACTGCTATAGCTGTTAACAGTTTATATCATGAAATCCTAGAATCCTCAAGGTTGGAAGAGATGTTCAAATGATCCAGTCCAATGATCCACCCAGCACTACCACCGTAACCCCTAAACCATATCACCCAGCACTAGGTCCAGACACCTCTTGAACACAAAATATCAAATGTGTGTTGTGTTTGCTTCCTGTTTGTTATTTTTTGTCACTGATTCCCATCTTCGTTCTTTTTATTTAGTGTATGTTATAATATCAGTCTTCTGCTTGGCCTCTGCGATGAGTCTGTACAACTGTCTGGCAGCATTAGTAGGAGAAATCCCATTTGGGCAGTGCAGGTATTGTTCACCTTCAGTTATTATGAGTGTGAGGTTTCCTTTGCATATCTTCTGCTTGCTACTCAATGTGGCGTGAAAATATGAGTTTGACAAAGTATTTCCTGTATGGTTTAGTGCGTGGCATAGTTACAAAAGAAAACTACAAGCTGCTTTAATAGATATTAAAGGTATCTGTTGCATAATCAACAGTTAAAATAGTTGTGGGAGATTTTCTGCATTACCTTCATTGGAAAGCATTGCTGTAGTCAAGTTTGAAAGGCTCTGCTTGGCTGTCTGAGCTTGGTTTTACCAAATTCTGATTGCCTGTCGTGTGCTCACTTTGTTCATCAAGGGGGGATCCTGCACATTTGATCCTGTTTTGAACAAGTACTACCTTGTAGACAATAGAGGGTTTTTTCCCTCATATTACTCTATACTGTACCTGTGAAATGCCAAGTATTAACTTTATTGCAAAGGCAACACATTGCTCATACCATCCATGTTGGAAGGCAGCAGTTACAGTCCTGACTTGGGTGGTGTGTTGTCAGTGTACAGACAGCTTCTTTTTACTACTCTGGGTTAAATATCCTGCAGTTATTAGTGAGTATGGGAGTGCCCCTGTTTTCCTCTCTTGTATTTTCACTTCAAAAATCCTGAATGTTTAATGCAACAAATGATTCTTTTTCCCCAAAAGAATGATGCTTATGAACTTGGAATCATGGAATTCTGTTTACATGTTCCTTAGTGCAGGATATTTGTGCCAGGTGATCCAGTAGCCCATCAAAGGTAGAGATCAGGTAGAAAAGACAGCAGGTTTTGTGTAAGCTGCAGGACAGGCATTACTTCTGTCAGTTAATATCAGTTCAAGAACTGTCCCAGACAACTGGAAGCAGATATTGGCTCACAATTTTGCAATGCATAGTTACCCCATTTTAAATTTTCTATTAATGTGTCCTAAAACTGATTTTACTCACCACCACCCTTTTGTGCAATCATGACATGGCTGTCTCTCACTGACAGTTCAGTTAACTGACAGAAATGGATTTAACAAACTCAACCTGCTTGCTGCCTTCTCTGGATGTGTTTGCTAAAATGAGGACAGGCCATCAAAGCCCCACTTGGCTGATTTTTAGTGTAGTCCAGAAAAGGATTGGTGCTGCAGTTGCAAGAATAATGTCACTTTAGTCTGGACAGAACAGCTGTGCAAAGGAGAAGCTTTTGGGATGAGAACAGCTGGTCAGCTTAAGGAAATGTGATAGAACAGGCATATGTCTTGGCTGTTGCAGGCTTTCTCTTTTAATTTAATTATTTTCTTTTAGGATTACGTGTTGTAACAAAACCATTGAAGTGAGGCTTATTTTTCTTGCTGTGTTCTGCACAGCAGCAGCTGTTGTCTGGGCAGTGTTTCGAAATGAAGACAGGTAAGTGGTGCATTCTAACTTCAGAGTAATATGAATAATTGGCATTAATGAACTTCCCATCCTACCACTAATCCTGGAGTGTAGCATCCTTCTAAACTCCAGTGCCAATTTCAAAAAAGTCATGAAAGTACTTATGAAGCTTAACAAGCCTGGGAGTAATAGAGAACAAAGCTATGCAAATGAACTGTGTGGTAATTTGAAGTTACAAAAAAACCTGTGAAGATGAGGAAGAACTAGCTTGATTGCTGAGGATTGCCCCAGAAGGAAAAGGTGCAGAAGAACATAGGGACCTGAGGTCCTGTGCTTCCTATGGGCCTGTAGAAGCACAGGACCACAAGTACACAAGTATTGCAGTACATCCCAAGTAGCATCTTAAGCCAGATGCTCAGTAGGGCTCCCAATCAAGTGAGCAATCACACCAGTGGACACCAAGGCCCTCTTCTAGCCCATGTTCAACTAATTTTCTCTTTATAACATTGATGAAGAAAACTGTTAGGGTACAATTCCAGCTGAAAACCAAGCCCCCCACAGCTGTTGGCTTAGTCCACCCCCAGTGGGATGGGGGAGAGAATCAGAAGGGTAAAAGTGAGAAAACTCATGGGTTGAGAAAAAGACAGTTTAATAGGCAATAGTTAAATCAGAAGCTGCACATGCAAGCAGAGCAAAACAAGTAACAACCTGTAAAAATGTATTTTTATTTTTAGGTGGGCTTGGATTTTGCAAGATATTTTGGGAGTTGCCTTCTGCCTAAACTTCATTAAAACACTGAAAATGCCCAACTTTAAGGTACTGTAAGTTGCTTACCTTAACATAGTATTCTACTGCTGTGAATCTGGAAGTTTATTGTCAGGAAATAGATTTTCAACACTCAAGAAATCTATATTAAAAAATGTGATCTTTACAATTTTTAATAATTATTAAAAGACACTAACCCTATTTTAAGTGTTATGCCAGATTAAAAAGCATGGCATGGGGTGGGGTTGGGTTGGGTTGGTTTTTACATGGTGGCACAGTAGTGGTACCAGAATCCAGCTATGTAATCCTTGAAAACCCACAGTAATATTTTCTTCTCTTTTTTTTGTTTTTGCCAGTCCTGTGTAATACTTCTAGGCCTTCTGCTTCTATATGATGTGTTTTTTGTCTTCATAACACCATTTATCACTAAGGTATGTCTGTGAATTTATCTTAACAAAAATGTTTGGTTACTGGGGCAGTGCTTTTGTCCAACAGGTCAGTGTTTTCAGAATTCTCAAGAAGGAAAAGCTGACTTTCTTTTCTTTTTTACCCATTTAAAACAACAATGGCCTAAATTTTTATGGCAATCACATGGCCAAAAGTAAACTGTCCCCAGTTGAGGGACAGTGTGATGATGAGAAATTGCTGCCCTCCAGTTTTTTTCCTTCTTTTGCTTTAAACACCTGTATATTGGAAAATGCTCTAGTATTTTCTGCCATGCTCACTTGCAGTGTAGTATGAATTCTGTGCAAGCATCACCTGCTCTTGTTTTGAAGCAGAAAAGCTCATGGCAGAAAAAGCTGACATGTTTTTATCTAAACTTCCAGCTACATCTAGTGGACTTGTAGTTTGGGGCTTTTTTTAACAGTGGTTTTAGGCTGGACTACATGATTTTTATTGTATAATACTGTACAGTACTCGTGCATTTGCTTTGATGTTCAGGATTTTTCCAATCCTGAATTGTAGGTGGAGGTACAAGCAGTTTTTGTAAATGTGGTATGAAAATTTTGATGCATTAAACCACTAACTTTTGGAAAAATAACTGTAATTTCAGAATGGGGCAAGTATAATGGTTGAAGTTGCAGCTGGTCCCTTTGGAAACAGTGAAAAGGTATGAAAAGTCATTTTAACACGTGCAGCATAAAAATACTGACTCTGCGTAGCTAATTCATAGTGCGCTTTTTGGCATAACTTTCTCACAAAATACAGCAGCTTCTGCTATTTTCTTATAAGTATTAAATTCCTGTTGACTTGGGTTTGATCCTAGAGTGATGGAAACTTGGTGGAAGTCCCTACTGAACGCTCAGCTCCCCATGAGAAAGTAAGGATTGTATTTCAGATACTGGATTTTTAAATTATTCCCTCTGAAAAGACTATTCTTTTGGGGAAAACCTGACTGTCCAAATTTCTCTTCAGGGCCTGGATATCATTGATCAGTATTCTATAGTTAGGTTAATAATCCAGATTTGTTACTCCGATTACATGGTTAAATATTGTTTTAACTTCTTTTTTTTTTGGTCTGTATATTATTTGTAAATCTGAAATTCCAGCTTACCTGTTGCCTTAAGCTTTATCTATTTTCTGTGTTGGTTTCTGGTTTTTACTTTAGGTTCGACCTATTTTAAAGTTCTGCATTAACAATAAGTTAATTATATTTAAACTGTTTATTAAATTAAGCAACCAAAAATCCAAAACACCAGGATGCTTTAGATGAGATTTATATGGCTTCTGAAATAATGTTTTCCAGTTACCTGTGGTTATTAGAGTGCCTAGACTTGAACACTCTGCATCGACACTGTGTGACTTGCCATTTTCATTGCTGGGTTTTGGAGACATTATTGTCCCAGGTGAGCAAAGGTTTTGGTAATTGTAACTTCAGGTTAAATATTTTGGGTTTGATTCTCAACTGACTTACAGTAGAGCTTATTCACAGAGTAATTACTAAATCAAATGCTGCAGTTTGCCTTGATCTGTCAGTGCAGAATACAACAAAAGCCACAATAGAAGAAAGCTTGGTGTGTTGCAGAACACTTTAACTGTGACAGGTTTTTTCTATTGCGCTGGATTGTGTAAATACAAGTCACATGGATAAATCCAGTTGTCAGTATTAACTAAATTTCATCCAAATCTCACAGAAAGTAGGTATTCTGTGACTTATGGGATTTTTGTATCCAAGACTACATAATTAGAGGTGAAGTAACAGAAAATGTATTGCCCAGTTTTCCCAACTTTGTCAGAAGAGCTGAATTTTGCCATAGTTGGAGTGTTGAGCAAACTACTTAAGCACGTGTAGGCAAAATTGCTGAATGTTAAGTGTGAGCATTAGAATCCTGATGAAGAAAAGTATTAAAAATAGGTTGTTACTCTTCTGTGTTAGAAAACTGAAAACAGCCTAAAATAGCATAATTACTGAAAATGTAATTAACTTGCTGAAAAAACAAACCCTTTTAATATCGAGCTCACTTGGCTCATATTTCCAGTATGGTTTTGAATTCCTGGGCTTACTGTAGGATTTCTTAAACTGGTCCTTGGCTTTCCAGAAATAAATGGGAAGAAGATAACATACAGTAGTGGGAAGTCTTACTATAAATTTTTTTATGCTGCTTTCATTTGGAGATTGGGGAGAAGAAAATTCATGGCCAGACATTTCATTAATCCTTTTCCTTTTTAATTTTTTTTTTCCTTCAAGGGCTTCTGGTTGCCTATTGCCGAAGATTTGATGTTCAAACAAGTTCGTCTTCTGTATACTACATTTCCTGCACAATAGGTAAATCATGTGATATTTCAGTGTTGTTGGTCTTCATAATAGCTTTGTTTAAATGTCAGAACTAGGTAGTTTTCTTCAGTTTAAAGTTCAATGTTGTCAAGAATCTCTTTATAAAATATAAATATATATCTCTTTTTAGTGTGCCTGCTAATATTTGAAGTGACTATTCTTAAAGGTAGTCAGTTGCTTTGAGAAATCTTGCAAATGCAGAGCAACCAGTTGTCTGTCTTCAGTTATATTAACAAGGAAGATACTACTTTAAAAAAAATAATTCTGGCTTATCTGACTTAATCTAAAAATTCTCCTGTTCTTGATTGTGTCTGTATAAATATCTTTTTATAGCTTATGCTGTTGGTATGGTGCTGACTTTTGTTGTTCTGGCACTAATGAAGATGGGACAACCTGCCCTTCTCTATCTTGTACCATGTACACTCATCACCAGCTCACTTGTTGCCTGGAGGCGCAAAGAGATGAAGAAGTTTTGGAAAGGAAGCAGTTACCAGGTAGGCTGGATGCCTTGGGTTAGTTCCTTTGAGTATATGCTTCTTTGAGTACTTGGTAATAAATCACCTGCAGTCCCATTTTTGCTGGTCTTCCTGTGATCTTTTGGAACTAATAAGGAAAAGCAGTTTTTACTCTTAGAAAATCTTAGTCTAGGAGTTGACATGGAGAACAGAGCTTAAGGGAGATGAAATAGCTGGTTCAGTACTTAGGGAGGAAAAGTAGTTTGTTCTATTTTCATAAATCTGTTCTCATAATTTGACATTCCTCATCGATCATCTTGATATAGTATGACATGAGTCACTGAACTAAGCATGCAGACTCCAGTCTGCACTACTCCTGTATCAGAGACAGTTCCAAAAAGGTTGGTGATCAACTAGAATTTTAGAAACTTTCCATGCATCACTGATGTCCTGCACTGTCAGGATTGTACCGAGCACTCAGCAACAAAATAACTGGGTGGTTACATAAGTGTTTCCTGTCACAGCACACACTGTGGGCACACTGCCTTGGGCATTCTGCATTTCCCCCTTGGTTAGGTCTGACACTACCCAGGAATTGCACTCCTTAAAATCCCACCTGTTGTCTGTTGCCATGTGCACATTTCCCTGCTGGAACTTGCTGTAGTAGCTGAGTGTGCCAGTAGCCCTTGTGAGCTGGCACTGATCATAGGGCAGACCAATCTCAGATTACTCCACATTTTGCTTGAGACCTAAAGTCCAATATGGTGTGAGTTCAGACACTCACCTGTGTCTAGGCTGTGTTGAACTCTGAGATTGGGTAGTTTCTTGTGGGGGAAGGTGGGTGTCAGGTTGATGGAAAGGAGCAGCTCCTGCTTTTTCAACTTCTGGATTGCAAGGTTTAAGTGGGTTAGTGGAAATCAAGGGTAATTCTTGTAAATGTAAAACTACAGGCAGGCAGCTCCTATAGTATTACAGCTAAACACTGCAGCTGAACCTTTTGTTCATCTAACCAGTATTGTACACCTGCTTCAGCTGGAGGTTGGCTAGGTGTGAAATTACTCCGGAGAGTTTCAGCTTTAACTAAATACCCTGTCTTTTTGTCTACAAAAGCACCTTTTCTCCTTTCTGAGGTCCAGTGAATAGAAATGTTCCTCTGTAGGTCTAAATGAATTTGGCTTAGTGTCCATTTGTATATAAATTGGTGACTGTTTGCTATCCTAAAATGAACAGCATCACATATATGAAGCCCAGTAGCTCTGGGTTTGTTGGGGGCAAAATGCTTTGCAATTTATTTTCTTCACTTGAGTTCTGAGTAAGACTGGCCTAAGTAAATTTGGCAGCTCTCCTTAGCGACAAAAATTTCTTGTACTTCTTGTAGCAAAACTCATACTTGAAAGAATTATGTTGCCATAGTAGTTATTTCGTGTCCTTTCAACTGGTTTCTTGAAGGATTAAAACTACTCTGAACTTCAGCTTGTTTTGAGGTCAGATGACTTCCATTTCTAGCATGATTTAAAATGTTGATTTCAACCCCCACTCCACCACCCCAAGTAGACTTGTCTGTGATTGAGCACCTCTGTGTAACTTTGCTAACTCCTATTTTTCTATAACTATCTGAAGAATATTTTTATATTAATTTTTCTTCCCAGAGGGTGTTATTCAAGTTGCACTCTGGAAATGCTGCAGTGTTGATCTTTTCATTTGATGTTCTCCTCACCTAAAGCTGTATTTTGAACTGTCTTTACTGCACTTACAAACAAACATGCCAAAACTCCAAACAAACAAACAAAACCCCAAACCACCCCAACCCACACAGGCCTGGGGTTGACATGTCCAGTTTTCAGTGCTCAGTCTAAGGAGGAAGATAGAGAAAGGTGTCAGAAGACTTTTTGGCTACAGCTGTGGTGATTTTGCCTTGGGGAGAGGTGCCCCATTGACAAGGGTAGTCAGACTTGTGTAGGGGTTTGCTTTGTCCTCATGGGAGCAGAGAAACCTTGCACAGTTGTTAGAGCAAAATGTCCTAAGAATAGGGGTAGAAGAGCATGTACAGTGCATCAGGTGACTAAACTTCATGATAGTTCATTAGTTAGCTTTTTTGAGTTTTGGGTTTTTCTGATTTTTGTTGGTTTTGTTGCATATGGTTTTAATAATTGAATGAATTTTATTTAGGTATCGGACTCGTCCAGGACGCCTTTGCTACAAGGTGTGATTATGGTCTTCTTTTAATGCAACTTTCTTAATCATCTTGTGGTTTCTTTTTTCCTTTTTTTCCCCTCTGCTTCCTCTTTTCAGTCTTTTTTGCATCTACTTTTTAATTTCTCTGAATAGCTCAATATAAGGGGATAGAACTGAAGACAAAATATAAATCTGTCATCGCACTTGAGTGTTTTGGGTTTTTTATTTTTTTAAAGGAATACAGGAAAATGTAATTAAGTAGCAACAGAGCCATGATTCCTAAGCCTGAAGGCAGGCTTCCTATGCTTCTCTGCTTTCTAACTTCCCAAATCCTTAGGAGTGTCTTAAAATATTTACAACTGATGTTATTTTCTCTTCTGTTACCTATATTGAAGTCCTTCACCTGATTTTTCTATGTCAGTGCATTGACATGAAAACCTGCTTAGTGCTAAACAAAAATTGTCATAGTCTGTTATAATGCTGAGCATGATAAATTTGCCTTTAGTAATTGCACCTACTGTCCCTCTGTCACTGACTGCTGCACAGTGTCCTTTACCCCGTCCTGCCTGCACTGCTTGCAGTGGGAGCCGGGATTCAGACCAGCTTTTGTGGTCTTGCCGCTGTGCAGCGTCTGGACTGCAGTGAGGTTTGACCTTTCTTGGCTGTAGCTCATGACTGCTAACACTGATGGTATTTATTTTTACTGTCCACATAGCTTGGAGAGAGCAGTGCAAGCTTTCAAATTTCAGCTTCATGTGGAATTTAAATATAATCTTGAATTATAGTTGCTGGTCTGGAGTTATACATCTATTTATAAAGCGTAGGGTGTCTGCTCTGTACACTGAAGACAATTTGAGATGGTGAACTCTCCCTGACTGTGTCTGAAATTCTCAATTAAAAAGTACTTCTCGTTAGCTTCTTTCTTCTAATAAAGAGAACTTTAACAATGTAAGTCTCATTAAAAAGCCTTAATAATAAAGAAATTAGATATAAACTGAAGATGATATTAGAAAGTGGGAGGGGTTGAGTGCAAATTAGAAGCAGATGGTGAGACTGTATTTTTATAGCTTAAAACTATTCTGTCCTGCTCTGTGCACTCAAGTTCTTGGATAGGTTTGTTAAAACCACTTTTTCAGTTTCTGCTTTATACATATGACAAATACTTGACTCCTCAAGATAGCTCTGAGCTCCCATAATTCATAGCTGAGATCATTTGTTTCTGTGTAATGATGCAGTCTGAAATTCTAGTTATGCTCTGTGTGGCTTTTTTATGGAGTAGTCTTGAGCTGTAATGAGTTGCTGCACAGGAAAACATTTTAACTATTCTGAAGCACAGGCACAGGCATTTCTTGGGAGAGTAATGTACCGACTTTCCTGCCACCTAAATAGGCAGTATTGCTGCTGTGGAATGTATAATAAAGGTTTTTCTGTGTTTTCTGGATTGCTTATACTCCTCATGCATGCCTGCATGATAAACTAATTTCATACTTATTTTCCAGTTATTAATTTAAAATACTAGTTTTTTTGCATCAGTACAAGCTATGAAATACTTTTAGTAGTAACGTGAAAAATCTAATGGACAAATGCAACTTTGAAATTTTCTACATAGGACAGTTGCAACTTCTAAGAGTCTGTCAGTTTTAAGTGCTCGGCACTTCTTATCTCTGTTTGAAGTAATAAATCAACAGATTTGGCACTGGCATGTTACACAGCATGCACCTGCAGTTTAGTTCCATCATTTTTATAATCACATTTTTAGAAACTCACAGATTCATCATACCTGTGAGTTGTTAAGAATTCTGTGAATGCAACATCATCCAAGTGAATCTTGCAGGCAAGTGTGTCTTAGGTACTGTGTAGTCTTACAGGGAGGAGTTGGTACTGCCATTTCTAGTTTGGCTCTGTGGGAGTGCTTTTTTTGGGGTGAGTTTGCTGGGTTTAGTTTTTAATTGTTCACCATGTTAGGAGATAGGTTAAACATAAATGTATTTCAGTTACAAAGCTGTCTTAACACCTCCCCCTTAAAAACTGTCAGGAATTCAGATGTGGGAGCAGAGCTTCTAAAATCTCTTCCACTTTTAAACGTGTTCACCAGCTCTCCACAATGTCAGATTGCTTTGACTCTTTTGAGGGTTAAAACAACAACTTTGTCCAGGATTGTATCGAGGTACCTTCATTTTGCTGCTGGTTGTCATAAAGATTCCTGCAACTTCTGCTGAGGCTTTGAGGATGGAGTTGTGCTGAGAGAATCTACAATGGAGATACATGTGTGGGAAAAGCTGCTTAATGCGATGTCAGACTTCTGGAGAGACACCTGTTGTCCCCAGCTTCAAGTTATGGGCTCTCCTTCAATGTGGAAGAGAGATTAGAAATGGGGTGGGGTGGCTTTTTTAACTTTGTAACATTTATATAAAAAGAAAACAAACAAAAAAACCCCATCAAAACATCCTTGATGCTTTACTGGGCCTTTTAAAGGTTTTTTCAGGTTTTTAAAAGTTAACTTAAAAATCTGATTATTAAGCTTAGAACTTAAAATTTAAATACAGGTGCTGTCTCCAGCATTTGTACAAAAAAGTACTTTTTTTGCTACTTCCAGTGTTGTAGGATTAAGAAAAGAACCTTTGACTATGGAATACACCGAATTGTTGCAAATAGGGGTGACTCTTAACTCTAGAAGCATCTTGTCTCTGCTGACCAAAATTGCCTTCTCTCTGCCAGCTGTTAGATGATCTTCCCTGGGATGAAGGAGGATATATGGCATGACTTGATGTAATATGGCACTGTGAGGGGAGGTTGTTCTTGTTTTATCCTGGAAACAAATACTTCAGATTTCATTCCAAGGGATGGTTTGAGTTCTGTAATTGTAGGGAGTGTTTTGCTTTGGGTGACTTTTGATGTGGATTTTTGGTTACAGTGCAGGGGGGAAAGTGAATATACTGAAATGAATGCAAAATTGTCATTGTCACAGGAGCTGGGTGTTCACTGCTGGACTGAGTGTGTGCTGTTGCTGTAACTCAGTTCTTAGGTCTACTGGCAAGACTGGTGCCTGCCTTTATTCTTATTGTCTTAATTCTGACACACAAAGAAAGAGTTGTGAAAGACCTTTTCTGGTCTGAGTCAAATTGATATTGTGGCCCCTAGGCTCTCCTGAGCATTACCCAAATCCCACTGACTTGTTTTTTGGAACTGTCAGCTTACTGTACAGCATGTTGGTGTGGCTGGACTGTGAAACAGCTTGTTTAAGCAAACCTGCTTTTGATAAGGTGTATTTGTGTGCCTTTCAATGAAACAATTCTGTTGGCATAAAAGAAGGAATGGCACAGAGATGGGTCACAGCTGGAGAAGAAGAGAGAAGTTAATGGAACTTGACTCTCTGATATAACATAGAATTATATCACACTAAAATGTGTACAGCACAACAGTGTCAGAGCCTGTTGCCAAGGATTCTCCAGTGGGTGCTAGTAAACAAGGAACCTATTGTGTGGAAATCTGCCCAGCTTAGATCAGAACCCACACAGTGAGCAGCTGTTTTACAGGAAGACAGGGAGAATTCTCACTCCTGGGCTGGTTATGCCACTAAGGAAGAACGTCCGTGTGGTTTTCTACCTTTTGATGCTGAATGCATTATCCCTTGTCCTAATAATCCTGCCACGCTGGGCACATGAGCTCCTTGACACTTTGTTTTTCAGCATTGGTTGTGCTACTTGTGTATCTTCTATCTATGGTTGTCAGCTACCAAAACTGTCCAGTTCTTGGCCTCTTGTTAATTATGTTTAATTCTGAAGCCCTCAAACTGATGGTCTTGGTTTGTCTCACTAACAAATGTGTACTTTACCTGTGTAATACATTCAATGACTTTTCCCAAGGGGAAAACCAGAGCCTTCATTGCCCTCTAGCAGTACAGCAGTGGATAGGGAAATGGGGCTTTTTAGTTGGGACAAGTACAAATTTGTCTTGTGTTATTCAAGTGATCTAATCAGTTACATTAATTGGAAAGTATAATCAGTCTACATAATAATCTGGTTTAGATTCTCATCTGTTGCAGGACTTTACAGTTCCATTTCCCTTATCCTCTTTAAAATAGAAGGAAAATTTACAAAGAGCTGTTACCAATAGTTAGTTTTTACTAATGATAATAAGTAGCCTTTACAGCCGTGAAAAGAGAAAGCCACTTTTTTCTGTTCAAGCTGTTGCTTGCTACCTGTAAATGTCAGGTTAGATCCTAGAGTCTACTTCCAGTTCTGAAAACTGTGTCTTTGAAAAATTTGCTTAAACCCAATTGTTTTTTTTGTTCTTTGTATTTAATAATCAAGATACTTCTGACTCATAAGTTTAATTTCTTGTAGAGGACTTGAGTCCTTGGTTGGAGAATGCTTTTGTAGTGGAAAGCATTAGCTAATGGAGCTTTGATTATTTAGCTTGAATACTTCTTTGATCTATAGAGGACTTCCTATCTGTATGCTGCTAAAATGTACTCTAACAAATGTTTAATTATATCTCTCTTAGCTAACAAATACTTCAGATCAATGGGGGGAAAGCAATATTTCTTTATAAAGAGCCATCTCTTTTCCTTTCTTTTTTCTTTTTTACATTTAGATGATGGAACACCTGGATTACACAGGAAATGAAGAAAGCACAGTATCGGCCCCTGAACAACCTGGAGGACAATAACATATGGGATCCTGATTCAAAATGGCATTTGAATTTTCAACAACTCAATTACACTAAATTTGGTGAAATTTTACAATAGAGTGTTTCCCACTCTGTGTAAAAGGGTTTTTTATTCCTGCACCTATATTTTTATGGAAAATATTGTTAACGACTTAAAAGTAATCAAAATAGACTTGCATTTTTACAGCCAAACCATAGCTAGTAAAACTGTGCCTTATTTCAATTTAAATAAAAGGATATTTTCTATGCAATTTTCCAACTGTGTTTCTATACAGTATATTTTTGTACAAGTTGCTTGCCCATATTGGTTTGATGCCTGAACTGGTTTTTTAAAACTTTGATTGACTAGTCGAGTTTCTTTAAAAGAAAACACAGTACCTTTCCTAGGATTTCCTTCCAGATTTTGAATGCAACGTTGGATTGTAATGCAGCTATAGCAACTGAGGAATGAAAGTATAGTTCCATTACTACAAGTAATTCAGTAAACAGTGTGTGTGTGTCTATGTACGTTGTAAGCCATAAAATCAATAACAGGGCAAATTTAGTGTGGGGTTGTGAGCTCTTCCTCCCTCCCCCCCCGTTGTATCACTGGCTTATGCCTTAACTGTGAAAATTGCTAAGCTTGGGTGCAAGTCTTTGGATTGTATACATCACCAAACATTTAAAAAAAAAAATAAAAGGGGGGGGAAAAGGTACTTACACAATGATCCTGAAAAATTCTGTGCAGCTGCAGTGGTTGACAAACAAGATGGTGCAAAAGGCAAGAGGTTTTTTGCTCAATAAATGCTGTTTTGGGGTGTGGTGTGAAATGTTAACTCTGGCCTGGTTCTTCTACTGGTTAAGAGTAGGTCTGTACTAGGTCTCTATTTGTGGTCTTCATTTGGCTGTGGATCAATTCAAAGGGATGGGGGAAAACAGGACAGATTTTTTTTTTTTTTTTTACCTTTTGCATCTGCACCATACTTTTTTAACTGTTTTTGAAAATTCTTTGCAATTGATAGACAAACCAGGTTTGAATAGTGCTAGTAGTGCCTGTGTTAGTTAAAGCCAATGCATGTGTTTAACTTGTTTAATGTTAATTTGTTTTAGCTCTTAAAGACTTGGAAAAGGATAAATAGTTTAAATCATTATTTGCATTTAGAAGAGTTTGTTTGACACTTTTTCTTTTTTCAGGAAACTGCAAATTGAGGGGGATTAGGCATAAAAAATTTGTGTAGCTGTAATGCTAACACCTCACACCAAAGAAAACTGGAGAAGGCAACAACAGGAGACCATTGAGTTCACTTAGTGCTCATGTCAGGTAGCTGTTAAAGCATTTTTCCTATTCTTTGAATGAATGTCATTCCTATAGCCAGCACAAGTTCAAGAACCCTGGGAAAACAACCGAGTAAGCACATGCTGGGCAGGGGCAGTGAAGACTTTTCCTGCAGTGCCTCATGCGAGTGCCTCCCTGTTTGTCTGAAGGTCACCTCTGGACATAAGATATTAGGAAGAAGTTCTTTACAGAGGGGGTAATCAGACATTGGACTGGGCTGCCCAGGGAAGTGGTGGATTCTCTGTTCCTGGAGGTTTTTAAGACGAGACTGGATGTGGCACTTAGTGCCATGGCCTAGTAACCACGGCAGTGGTGGATCAAGGGTTGGACTTGATCTCAGAGGTCCCTTCCAACCCGGCTGATTCTCTGATTCACAGTTAGTTTGGGGCGTGTTGGCTCAGGAAAACTTACCCAGATTAAATCTGGCTTAGCTAGATTTACTGTGACAGTATGCTAATTAAGGCAATTGTAAATCTATATCGGCAGTTAACAAAGGCTTACTGCAAATTCATTCGCAGATTTATGTGATTTATATCAACTTTAAACTTTGGTTTGCAAGAGGGAGGAGCAGCCAGACTGACAGTCTGGATGTCAGTTCTTGCCATTCACAGGGATTGACCGTGGTGCTTGATACGGGTAAGGTAAACACCTTGTTTGCAACTTCCCTAAGGAAACAGGATTTACAAGCAGGTTTGGTATGCTAGCAGTTCCCCTCCTTGACTTGAGCTTGAACTGACAGCCTCAGAATGCAATGGTCATCTTCAGTTTTTATTTGACTGGCATTTCATAAATTACAGCATACCTCAGTGTTCCAATAGCAGACTGAAAATGTGTCTTCTGATGTGTTGTCGTGCTCTTTGACAGGCCCAGTATCTGCCAAAGTTCAGTGATTTTGAAGAAGTTTCTGAAAATTTCTGAAGCAGATAAAGAAGTCATAACTCATTCAGAAGCTTCACAAACCTATGTTATATGACTTCTTTGTCTCTTTTGAAATCTTCTGCATGGAGGATTTACTAAATTTTCAACTATAAATGATAATGGAATTAGTATAAAAAAAGACCTTTGGCAATGTAAGTGTATTCAGCAGCTGGCTGTGGAACCTGTGTCTTGTTCTGTGCCTAATAATGCTCCATGCCTGATCATGCCTGAGGTTTCACACACGTGCTGCAGTTTAATGGGGTGTAAACTAACTTTTTCCTTTCAAATGCTTAGGTGCTTTGTTTACAGAAATTAAGAATGGAGTTTAAAATTTTATATAAATAGTAGGTTAGTATTGACTACTGAAATGAGGTTTTATAAGTTCAACAGAACTGATTGCAACACTTCTAGCAATTTTGAATGTTTTTAATATTAAATTTGGTTGAGCTAAACACTGTTAAAAGCCTTGTTAGTCATACTTTAGTAGAAAAATCTTACTACCTTTTCATTGTATGTTTACTGACAACAGCCCCCTTCCTTATGACTCTTAAGTTATCACCTTAAGAATGTTATTAATAAATGTTACTTGGAAAAAAGATAGTTGAGTAATTGCTTTGTTCTAACTCATCTTTTTCTTACTGTGAATGTTCATGGCAAAACAGTTACCACTTCATAATACCAAGTAAATTAAAAATCTGTGATGCAGCCCCATAAATGTGTAGTTGCGGTTTTTATCTGTGTATCCAAGTTATGAATCTGTAGGTATCTGTGTGATAGGTTTGGTGGATTCCTTTTCTCTATATTTTTAATTTTCTTCTGGGGTGAAGAGCAGGGAACTGAAGTCTATGAACTAACCTACATCTGTTGGACTGGTCTGATCAGGAAGTGCTCGTTGCACAGCTGTTAGTCATGAGCTCTGGGAAAGCACACCTGACAAAAGTGAGTGAGAAATTTATTTAACACGTGCAAACTTCCTGATGGTAACAAGCTGCTTGCACTCAGCCCAGGAAATAGTGCTGCAGAAGTATTTTCAGCGGAAGGTGCTCAGCCTTTGACACGAGGGCAAGAAACAGCCACACCTCGGACATGAAACCCAGGCTGGGTTGGAAATGTTGGCAGGGAAAAAGAAAAAAAGTCACTGAACCTGAATAGACTCAGTATGTGATCCTTGAGACATCCCTACAGCCCTGTGATAGTGTGTTTGTATGCAACATGTTTTTAAATATTTTGAGCCTCTTCTGCTCATACATTGGAGGTTCCAGTAGCATTGAGTCTCAGTGAGTGAGAACTTAAATTCTTATTTTCTTTTTGGTTTAAGGAAACTGTCTAAAATGTTCTTCAAATTTACTTATTTTAAAAAATAAAGAAGTTAAGAACAGACACAGCTGCAATCAGCAAACTTGTTTTTCACTGTCTGTTCCCCTTGCATTCCATTGTTAAGGCTGCTCCATTTGACACACGGGCGAAACTGTACATCTCAAAATTGCAAGAAGAGAGGTAGTTTCTTCTGAGGAAGAGGATGCTTGCCTGTTTAGATCAGTCCAATCTTTACAATACAGTTCCATTTAGACTCAAGTGCAAGCTTTTCCCTGTGAGTGTGGTCAAACACTGGTGTAAATTGCACAGAGAGAGGGTGGAGTTGGAGTTTCCACCCTTGGAGATACTCAATATACAAGTGGACACAGGCCTGGCAGCCTGCTCTGAGCAGGGGGATTGGAGTAGGCTGTTAGACTTAAGCACATTTAAAAGTTGTCTTTGGATTTGCAATGCTTTCAAAAGCTGAAGCCCTGTTTTATTTTCAAGTAGCCTATACAGCACATTTTCTGAGTGAGTGGTTTATCTTTACGATTTTTAAGGAAAGAAGGAGAAGGGCAACTCAGACTGTTATCCCTTTTGTCAGAAGTGAGTGATCAAAGTTCAAGGTTTTGTGTGCTTGAGAGAGGTTGATGGTGGAGGCTCAGGTATCTCTGGAATTCCTGTTATTGATAAAGAATGTGCAAGATCCTGTTTCCCTGAATATAGAGGGCATCAAATAGCTGAGAATAGGTTCTTTGCTTGCAGCTCAAAGACCTTTTAACCAAGAAAGTGTTTAGATCAAAGAGCTTTTAGCTTTCTGTCAGGAGTGTGCTCACAGGTATTCTGCTGTCTGGTTTCAGTGACAGTCATGTAAAACAAGCTGATCTTCTCCTTATCTGTGTTATGGCCCCACCGACTTTCTGGGGTTGCATTGTTGGTGTAACAGCCAGATTTAGATTCGGAAACAAAACAAAGTAAGGGAAAGTTTTTTTGCAGTTTCATCAAGGGTTGAAATGTGCTCGTGCTGGTTCTCCCAATGTTTTGCAGAACTGCTACCACAATGTATCAACTTGTGCGTTGTACACGCTTGGGAATACCAGGAAATTTGACAGGTTAATTGCTGAATTAAAAGTTCAGCAATGACTCAGTTAATTTAATTTCCACCTTTGTTGTGATGTGTCCCTGTCAAAGCTCCAAGAAAAGTGGGCTTCTTTTAATTAAGTATTTCTTTCAAAATGTAATGGAAACTTACGCTGGGAAATGGATCCATCCTTGTGGATTTAAGGCAACTCCAGAAAATTAGCAAACAGGTAAGTGAGTATTTCTGTGGTAGCTGATTTCAAAAATAAATTTTATAAGTAAATTTACATTACAGTAACAATGGAACCAAGACCAAATGCATGCCCACTGCTACCTTTTCTCCAAGAAATGGAACAGCGAGCCTCCACAGGACAAAATGATACTTTTGTCATGGTCACTGTCAAATAAGAGTTTAAAGTTGGACAATTAAGACCAGTCCCATATAAATTAAATTTAAAAATTTACATTTTGATTAAGAGTTACCTATCCCTAAATTAAAAAAAAAAAAAAAAAGACAAAGCTGTAAAGAAGCAGAGCTCTGTGAACTTGTCCCCAGTTTCTAAAATTCAGGCACCTCTGCCTCTTGCTGCTTTGCTTGCTGGTTCAGGCAGTGCAGTCCTGGAAGGAGATGCTGCACCTCTGCTTCTTGC